GACACAGAGGTCCACTGTCCAACAGGACGAGGACACAGAGGTCCACTGTCCAACAGGACAAGGACACAGAGGTCCACTGTCCAACAGGACAAGGACACTAAACACACCGGTGTAGCAACACTCTGCTAGTTTAAGAGAAACTGTTAAAGTCCTGAAATGTTCATACGTCAGAGTCTGTAGTTTAACTTAAAGAGACAAGAAGCTGATCCAACCTGAAGGAGCTGCAGCAGTCTGGTCCTGAAGAATGGACAAAGAGTCCAGAGATCATCTGGACCAGACTCAGGACAGACCTGAAGAGACTCTGCTGGAACTGTTGAAAATCATGCTCACGTACAGGATTTAGTTTTGAAAGCACGCATCATTTTTCATTTGTATACTTTTCCCCCTTATTTAAGCCCATTTAAAATATTTTTCCTACTTTTTTTTCTTTTGATAAAATAAAAATCCAGTTAAATTCCTGATTGTGAGACAAAACCAAGATTACTAAGAAGATGAACACTTTTTCAAAGCACCACATTATTCACAATAATTTAGTTTAAAACTAAAATCCTCTTCCATATTTTTACGCACACATCCCCATTTAAAGTACTATATTTTATGTGCAATATTACAGTTGATTTATGTTAAGTGTTTATTTTTTTTATTAATATTTTACTTGTAAAAGACTGGAGAGCTCCTGAATGATGGATCTTTACGATGAAAGATTGAGGAATAATCAGTTCAGCTCAGACTCACCTTGATTGTTGTCTCACAGCAGAGAAACTTCAAATTAATATAAAACGTCTCAAGTCTGGTCCAAACACAAACTCCTCTGTCTTCAGTGGACAACGTGTGAGCTGGGCTTGTTTTTATACAGCTGCTGACAGCTGTGGGAGCATCAATCTGTCGTCTGGTTTGTGTTCATGGCGCTGTTGTGCACAAAAGACGCTCCGTTTTTGTTTCTGTAGCCAACGCTGAACCCTTTTACACCCGCAGACGGACTGAAATTAAAAGTGTTTCAGATTCTTACAGAATAATGAAAGCGAGAGAATCAGACGCGGCTTTATAACCGAAGCAAACATGTGTTTTGTGGTTTTAGTGCAAACAATAGAAAGAATTTGGTGAAGACTTTAAATACACACAGTCACAAATTTCTGGCTCATCTTTGCTTTGTGTCGACATGTACAAACAAACTGCAACAAAGCTGCAGAACTGAAATTAGAAGGGAAAGTTAACTGTTTTTTTTTTTTTAACAACTTCACTGGTGCGGTGACTTTACCAGTAGCAGCTCGTCTTTTACAAGAAATTCTGTCGACACTTAATTTTACGTTTGTGCTCCATGTCCAGATTTTGAAAATGTAATTTGTAATATAAAATTTAAACAGGCATTTATCTGGAGTTAAACTGGTTTGATCATTTCATGACTGGGTGATTCACACTTTAACCTCCCAACTGGACTAAGACGCTGCATGTTGGCGTTACCAGGCCGGCCTCACCGCTATAGTTCAGAACGCTGCTGCTCAGCTGAACAAAGTGATGCATGTCAGTTATAGCTTCTAGTTTTAGATTTTAAAGTATTGATAACTCATCTGGACAAGCTCTTGTATGACCTCCTGCAACCTCAGGTGTCTTGATTATTGATTTGCTTTAGATGTCCCGCAGTCCAGGTGAGACACGCTGTAGCTCCAACCGTGGAAACTGCTCCTTCATATTCAACGGGGTTCAACTCTTGGCGTGCAAGACTTTTTACTCACTGGCTTTTAATACGTTTAACAGTTTGTGGTAGTCATCGTCTGAACCATTTGCGATGCAACGTCATTGTATTACGGCAGTTAGTTTTATGCTTGTTTGCATTTTTGTTTTGCTTCAAACTTGGACAAGCAGAATCTCATTGACAAGTTACAACTTGTCAAATATACAATAAAATTTTACAGTGATTTCTGGAGCACAGCAAAAACTACAGAATCAACCCAGATTTACTGGAAGATTTTAAAGTTTCACACCATCTGGAGCCATTTTCCAACATCAAGTCACTGGATAGATCTTAAGCCTTTAATTTATGCAACTAACCATTTAATGTTGCTGCTAAAGCAGCTTTTCCACAAGCTGCCAGTGGTCTACAGGTATGGGTTTATTAAATTTCTTTAGCATTTTAGATTGCTCGTTTATAAATTTAGTAGGACTGTGTAGCATGCAACAGTTTGAGTGGTGGGTTTTAGAAACCATTTGGTTAAAGTCTGTAGGAAGGGATTAACTGGATGTTTTACTACAAGTGGCCGTTCACCTGATCGTTTAACTTAATTCAGCTTTTCATATGAAAATTTTAGGACCTGCAAATTCTTAACTTAATAGAATCTGATGGTTTTGAGGGCTTTGAGTAGATACAGATGTTAACCCATGAGCACATTAAATAACCAGAAAACAATTGAAAATGCAAATTTTTATTTAAAAGAAACTAGTTTCTAGAAGACACTTCAGCTCACTGGAGATGGTTCCTGTAAAGTAAGAACAGAAGTCAGACAGTCCCAAGTGGAACATGAACTCCTGTAGGTTTGGAGGCTACCTCTGGTTTTTCCACATCTGCCTGGGCAGTTTGAGTGATGGGGACAGTCTCCACTTTCTGTAGGTCAGTCATGCTCATGTCTTTTGCAGTTTCAGAGTTACCCCTCCTATAAAGTAGATTAGTTTATCGTGTTCAGCATATCAAGTTTAAATTTAACCATTCAGATTACCAACCTTGTTTCAGCACCCTTCTTTTTAAGCACCACTGCTATTACAGCAATGACCACAATCCCTGCACAGAGACCTGCTGCTCCGTAGATGATTGGACCTTGCACGCCTTTTGCAGCACGATCCTGACAGGCAGCACCACTGTAGCCTTCTGAACACACGCATGACACAACTCCTTCAGTCTCCACACAGCGGCCGTTACCACTGCAGTGGTTTTGGTTGCACTGGTCAGCTATCAGGTTCACAAGATCAGTAAACAAGTCGTCCTGATCAGGTTCTGGAGAAACCGGGTGAGGAGAGGAGCCACGAGGGTGGATGGGAGGAGAGACCTCGGAACCTGGCTCCGGCTTTAGATCACCGCCTTTAATTGACAAGTGTAAATTAATATTTTGAAGTTTCACTCCCCCCCCCCCAAATTTACGTACAGTTCTCATCTGAGTGGTCAGAGCAGTCAGCATGCCCATCACAGAATTTTGTTTCAGGAAGGCAGGTTTTGTCCAAACATGGCCGGGTGCCAGGTGAACAGCCTTCTTGCTGGGTGCACTTTGTTCCCTTTGCCACGTAGTCATGGGCACACCTGCATGTCCGACCTGATGGAGTGGCGAGGCACAGATGCTGACAGTCTCCGTTGTTTTGGGCACATGGGTTGGAACCTAAAAATTAAAGGTTTAGAAATAACATTCCCATTTTGAAATTTGGAACAAGCAAGAGGTCACAAGTGTAATTTACCTGAATGACTGGACTTGCTGAAGGATTTTAAGCTGATCACTTGTGTTCCAACCTCGAACCACAACTTCTTTTGCTGCTGATCTTTGCGGTACCAAAGCCTCGTCATGTCTGAAGGAAAACGCCAGATATTGTCAATGCATTTTAACCACCAATTTTTAAATACACATTTGCAACAAAGTTATTTACCACTCTTCGTCATCCAGAAAAGAGTGTCATCACCAAAAGCCATCGCAGTCACGCTTTCAACAGTCTCCAGCTTTTTATAACCGGATCCATTAACGTGAACAGAATTTATGGTTCCTATTCCTGAGAAGTGAGAAAATTAGAAAAAAAAAAAAAGAAAAAAAAAGTGCTTTCGATCAGATTTGGGACCAACTGAGGCAAGTGAAATTCTTACCCATGTCAACCCAGAAGATTGTATCCCCATTACTGGAAAAGACCAGAGAGGCAGGTTGGACTGCATCCTTATGCACGGCTTGTCGCTGTGCACCGTCCATATGGGCACATTCTACCACAGCCTTGCTGCTCGTCTCCTGCAGATCCAGATTTGTGTAACACATGGCTCCACTGGGAGGATGGAGTGCAATACAACCAACTCCACTAATTCCATCTTCAATGACAACAGCTGTATAAGCACCAGATTTTGAAGTGACCTGAAGGCGCGGCTGTTTGCTACTCCAGTACACGTTAAGGGTCACCCAGTCAAGGGCCATGGCAGTGATGGCATCATCTAGTTTCAGAAGCTGTCTCTGGGAGATTAGAACAGAGTCCTTCAGCTTGAAGGAGTTGATTGAAGTCGTGCCATCATCCGTTATAATCAGAGTATTGTCTTGCAGGCTGTAGTCCATGATGGTGGCTTCATTGATGTTGGGGATTTGCAGTGCCATGTGCTCAGGCCAGCCCTTTAACTCAGCAGCTTCTTGCCGAGATGGCAAATAGACCTGAAAAAGTGTCAATTTAACATTTAACTGCACTTCTACTGCAGTTTAAAAAAAAAAAAAAAAAAAAAAGTTTGTGCAGACTGTCCAGGAAAATTTTGGCAACTCCTTGTTCATAATGACAAAGTTTTAAATGCAAGTTACAATTTTAAACTTCTTGCCAACATTCTCAATGGTCCTTTGCAATGAACTAGAGCACTGCCTTCAATTACTGTTAAGTGAAGTTAAACATTAACCTTTGAGACAGTTGAGGGAGACAGTAGCAGCAGGAACGTTGAAGAAACCCGACTGGAACAGGTCAAACCATCCTCAGCCAGCAGGAGACCAGAGGGACACTTGCAGACTGCTTTGAGTCTTGGAGCCAGGACACACATGTGGGAACAGTCAGTCTTCTTGCAGGGGCTGTCGGTGTTCATCTGGAGTATTGGGTGGATTACCTGAAATGCAGGCAAGTTATCAGCAACTTGATTTTGCAGACCAGTCAGACACACCAGTGTTTGTTTCAGATATTGCAAGTATTGTCAGGACTTTACTCACTTTCACAGCAAAAGGCTGTCCTGGTCGTTTCAGGAGAGTTTGACGGTTTTTGCCAGAGACATTAGCAGCTTGAACTGTCCTCTTCTTGGCATCAGACCAATAAAGCATGTCATTGAATACAGCCACAGAGAACGGATTTGTTGTCTCCTTCATCTGAAGAATCTGAAAACCCAAATATGGAGATTACGTTTTAGCAATAGTGTGATCAAATGTACAATCCAAGTCTTAGTGGGTCATGTTAAGATTTTAGAGTGGTCAAGTCAACTACATTTATGCTTAGTTTTGTCTGGAGTCAAGTATGTTGGAGGACCTGACTTTTCATTTTACCTTAATATCCTCTCCATCCAGTGTTGAAGATCCAATGGCCTTTAGTCTTTCGTCTGTCCAGTAGATCCTTTCAGAGATGGAGTCTACTGCAATTCCACCAGGCCAGCCTAAACTAGAGTTCACCACCGCCCTCCTCTCTGATCCATCCATCCCAGCACGCTCAATCTTCACCACATTACCAATTTCAGTCCAGAACATGAGCCTAGAAGAAGATGGGTAAAGAGCATGAATATTGGTCATCAACATTCCACCTCCATGCATCACTTCAAACCAACCTTTTTTGTGGCAGCAAGGCTAGAGAGCGAGGCTGATCCAGGTCTTCATCCAAGATGACACTTCTGTCCGCAGATTTCACGGAGGTTTTTGCAAGTCTGACAGCAACGATCTGACTGTTCACACCATCGATCCAGTACAGGTTTCGACCAAGCCAGTCCACAGCAACAGAGTCAGCCCTGACACCTAAAGACAGAATAATTTAGTTTGTCCTCTTCAATACCATTCATCACTTTCAACAGCAAATGTGTCCAAAACCTTTTATCAGGATTCCTGTGGTCTTCTGGTCCATTGAAGACCAGCCAATCGTCTCCGTGTCCACACTGACCCAGAACACTTTCTGATCCCTCCAGTCATAGTCCAGAGACAAAACTGCCTTTTTGGAAGTGGATGACAAAATGTCTAGACTTCCACTGCGCAAGCCCAACAAGTAGAGCTCCGTTTGGATCGATGTTAGCAGGAAGGGTTCACCTAAGAGGAACACTGATGTGTGACCTTTGCATATAGATAGTCATTTCAAAAACTGTATATAGCTCTAAATCACAAGTTGTCTCGGGGCACAGTTTATAAAAAGCCAATTAGTAAAGTAAAAGCCAGCACACTTAGAATCTTGACTTTTCCAGTTTCTCATTTTGAGCAAGCAATGAAACACTGAGAGTTTGTTTTTTTTACCTGTGATCTTGCACAGGCGTCCACGTGCCTCCATAATGAAGCCTGGATGGCAGTCACATTGGTATGATCCTGGAGTATTAATGCACAGGTGACTGCACTCCCCTGGCGTCTTGTCTTCACACTCATTTACATCGACACAGGTCGCCCCATCCTCCTTCAGCTTGTACCCATCTGCACAGCGACAGCGCTGCAACACAAGTCAGGATTTAATTTAAGGGCAATAAGCCTCAAGACGTTCCCTGGAACACATTCAGCCATTAATCTGCTTTATATTCCTCCACATGAAGCCAAACCAGATGTTTCAGACATGCAAAAGGGTCTCACAGGTCCCTGTGGTGTGCTGTAGCAGCCTTGAGAACAGTGCGAGTCATCTTCTGCACAGGCCGTTTGGCAGCTGCCTCCCTCGTCTGAACCATCTGCACAGTTTGTGATCCCATTGCAGACCAGACCCACGTTCAAGCACTCCCGACTGCCACACTGGAACTCATGAGGGAGGCACGTCACCGTCCCACCTGCAAGTATTCACATAGTTGCATTTTTCAGTAAAACCCATTATGAGTTTATTTGGGCTCAATTAAAAAAAAAAGTTGCTGCAGTACAATTTCACATTTACGTGTGGTCAAAACTACCAATGTTTTGCAGTTTGATTTAAACTCCATAACTCACATTCATTCTCATCACTGCCATCGTCACAATCCTTCATCCCATCGCACCTCCAGGCTGCAGGAACACACCTAGTCTTGGACTTACAGGACCACTGGAAGTCACCACAGATCAGAGGAGCCACAGGACAATCCTGAAGGATGGAGTAGATTACAGATTCATCCTGGCTTTATTTTTACTGAATTAAGACAGTTTATTTTAAATACAGACTGCACAAAAAGGCTCATGAGACCTCTTTACAGTTCGACTTGCACTTAAAGCCTGTTAAGTTTCACATTTACAGCTGATCTTTAACATTCAAGCATAAAACACTTGCCACCCACCTTTTCATCCGAGCCATCTTTGCAGTCCTGGTCTCCATCACAAAGCCACTCTTGCACCAGACACTCCTTACTTTGGGGGCAGCGGTGTTTGGTAGTGCAGACTGGCGCTTTGGTGCAGGCCTCCTCATCCGAGCCGTCCCAACAGTCTGGGTGACCGTCACAGCGCACTGAGGCAGACACACACTGGCCACTGGCACATCTGAACTCTGTAGCACTGCACTCTTGTTCACCTGCAGGAAGGCCGTTAAGTTTGCAGTTTCCAAGTAGACAAGTGTTTTTTGCATAATTTAACACGTACCACAGGTTGCCTCATCACTGCCGTCGCTGCAGTCGCTCTCCCCATCACAGAGGAAGCTGCTGGGAATGCAGCGGCTCTCGTCATCACATTGGTGCTCACAGCCCTCCATGCGCTTGGCACATTCCAGTTCATCCGAGCGGTCCTGACACTGAGGTACACCGTCACACACCTGGACCTTTTCTATGCATTTCTTTCCATGAGCACACTGAAACTGGTCTGCAGCAGAAACAAAGTAGAGATATTCCGGATGTTTTAGTTTAAATCATCATCAACAGGTCAATACATTCCAAATGGCAATCTTTAGTCTGCAGATGCAAATTTAGACTTTGGTTTACCCCACTTGATGCCATTAAGCTTTCCTCCTTTATAAGGCCAGCATGTAGACCTCAGCAACACTACTGCAGATTTTGCAGCTTTATACTAATCTGCACAAGTCACTTACTACTTTCACATTCTGATAAGCAGTTTTCCTCATCAGAGCCGTCTCTGCAGTCTGCCTCCCCGTCACAGACATGGTCGTAGTGAACACAGTCAGAGTTGTCTTTGCAGGATTTGGTGCCCAAAGAGCATCTGATGGGACGAGATGGGCCAAAGGGAGCAGGCACAGGAGCTGCGTTAACATCATCTGGATCCTCTGAAAGACGGTAAAGGAGAAGTGACTCACAGCTAGAAACTGCACAGAACAAATGGAACAGGGCAGTTCTCCAAAGCTATATACCACAGGTAGCTTCATCAGTGCCATCCAAACAGTCCTTCTCCCCATCACATATGAAGCTCGCAGGCAGGCAGCGATTCTTGTCACATCGGTGAGCACAGTCTTCAGTTTGCTTCATGCAGTGCTGTTCGTCTGAGAGGTCCTGACACTGAGGAACACCATCGCACACATGGTCCTTGTCTATACACTTCATGCCATGGGCACACTGGAACTGATCTGGATGCAGATCAAATTGAAGAATTAAAAAAAAAATTAAATGACTTGCAGAAAGATATAATCTGTTCAGCAGACCAAGAGTTGATATCTATCCATCCATCCATCTATGCATGCACTTGTTAAATTTTAATGTGACAATTTGCATTTTAAACAGTTTTAAAGTGTTAACTAAAACAATGTTGAATTGTTTTTAAGTGAACTTCAAATAAATAATGACTCCCAATAAATTCTCATACCATCACCACATCCAGATTCACAGTCTTCTTCATCAGAGCCATCCTTACAGTCTGACTCTCCATCACAAACATGGCTGTAGGGGATGCATTCTGAGCCATCCTTGCACAGTGTAGTGCCCAGGTTGCACTTCATAAGACTGCTTCCAGCTGAAACAACTAGGCCAAACACAGGAGAACGTGACTGAAACTACAGCGTGGCAAAGACTTGTGTTCAAGAACAGACCAGGCTTACCTTGCAAGTATGATGCCAGTAACGCCAGACAAAGACATACCCATCCACCCATCGCCACAAGCAAAATAAAACAGACACTTCCAACAGACTGAAACGAGCCGTTTTATAAAGGCAGCAGGTGAGGCCAATTAGATGAAGTGAACACCTGAGTCAGGGGCGGAGCTTCAGCCTCTGAGTGCTTCTGTTTGTTTCATCAATCAGTGCACAAATTAATGCATGTTTCTACAACTGAATGACAGCATTTGTTCTTTTTTGCCTTTCATTGTTCTGGTGTGTTTTTGATGATGTTCTTAGACAATTAATCAAAAATGTTTTAGTGTAATTCCTGCAAACATCTAAAAGTCCATTTCTGCTACCCAGAAAGAAAGAAAAAAATAAAGGATCTCAATTACAATCACAAGATAAAATGGCAAAATGATGGCTTCCTGCTGGTATGAGATTAAACATGTTATTATTATCAAGTTGTTTGTCTTTGAGGGGCCCTGTGATGGACGTCCAAGCTGTCCTGAGTGTACCTCACAGTTAGTGACTGCTGGAGAGACACCAGCCTCCTGTGATCCAGAACAGAGGAGTGGGTAAATACAATGTATGGATTGTTATTATTTGTTATCTCAAATTTTCAACTTGTGCTATCTTATAATTAAGAGTCATAATTGAAAAAAAAAAATCCTTTCTTGCAAGGCAATTTATAATTAGAAGATAATGGTTCATATGTTCAAAATGCAAATTAATAATTTTGAGATGCTAAGTTACAATTTTGAACATTACGTAAAAAAAATTTGCTAGGCAATTCATAATTATAAGATATTACATTAAGTTTTTTTAATGCTACATCATAATTATGATATATTAAGTCATAATTTTGAGATACAGTCATCTAACAAGGTTGAGGCCCCGTTTACACGACAGGTTTTTTGAGTGAAATGCAAATTTTCTGCTGCGGTTCGTCTGTTCATTTAGACGACAGCATCCCTCGTTCTCTCTGAAGAACGAAGATTTCTGAACCCAGGTCTCAGAGTGGAGATTTTTTGGGGGAAATTTGCACGGAGATATGAAATGCTCCGTAAGTGCGCAACATGCGCACTACAGGTGGCTGCAGTCCAAAGTTGTTTTTCTGCACTAACAACAGTTATAATAAATGGCAGAGTGCAGTGTTTTAGTGCTTCTTCTCACCCTTTTTCAAAACTAATTAAAAATCAAAATAAAATCCATGGTCGAAAGAGATGTTAGTGTATTCACCAAGTTGGTACGTTGGTAACAGACGCAGCATCAGGGTTACCAGATAAATTTAAAATGTCTTATTTACCCCCTCCTTTTCTGTGCACATGTTCAACAAACACAAAACACACCGCTTCTTAGAAAATCTTTACTCAGCACATACGACAGTTTACATCAAAATCCTATCATTTGTACTATAGTTCATAATTTCTTTTCTGGCAACCTGACCGACATGGAAACTAGAGCATTTTCGTGTAAACCCTCTCTTTTTTTTAATTATTCCCAGTAAACATTGAAAAAAAAAACCCATTAACGTTTCCAGAGGTTGTTCTCGTGTAATCATGGTCTCATTGTTTCAGAATGAAGAAGTCTTTTATAAAAACAATGATGTTAGGCTCCCTTGCAAAAGAGATCTGTGATCTCAATGGGATTTGCCTGGTTCAATAAAGGTTAATTAATTAATTAATTAATAAAAGACGAAACGTTTCAACAAAGAAGAATTTGTGCAGAGGACCTGACTCAGGCCCTGAGGAGACTCGGGCGAGAACGAGGCTGTTGTCGTGTAAATGAACAGCCGAACCGCAACATAAAAGCTGCGGTTTCACTCCGACAAAGTGTCGTGTGCACGGGGTCCCATGTTAGACCTATCTGCCTGGATTATTGAGCATGCATCGGGACATACTATATCATAATTATGAGATGTTAGGTCATACTTTTGAGATGCTGTCATAATTTTGAAAGTTGTCCCTTGTTGTGAGGCAATTTATAATAAGATACTGTCATATTTTTAAAATGCCCAGTTACAATTATGAGTTGTTGTCATAATTTTGAGATACTATATCATAATTATGTAAGATTGATGCATATTTTTAAGATGAGTCATAATATTGAGATTGCATTTTGTCATAATTAAATGACATCTCACAATTTTGAAAAAAAAAAAAACATCGTACAAAAACACTTTCTCAATATTATGACATTTTTTAATTGGCGGTAATGGTCTTCCACACTCTTAAACCTCTTCTCTCTCTGTACTCATTAAATATTTGAACTTATCGCTCTATGAGTGAGAGGGATTCAGAGCTTGTGCATCTGATCTGATACAATCAGAAGGCCACTGTAAATAGGGACTTGATGGTCAAGGACAGATGTGTTTGGTTGAAGGAGCAGCTCGGAGAAGATGTTGTGGAATCGACACAAGAAAGTGCTGATCTTGGGCGGTTGGCATAAAACTGGTTTGTGACTGGACTGCTATGGCGTCTCAGGTTGAGAGTGATGGGGATGATGAGATGGAGTTAGGTGAGTGGACTCCGGTGCGTGGTGGTAGAGGGTCGGGAAGAGAGAGAAATAAAAAGGAAGATACTTTGCAAAGTAATAAACGGAGCCTAGAAGAAAACAGTTTGGAGGAAAACAATGTGGTTAGTAAGAGGGTTGTTAGGGAGGAATCCAAACTAATCATAAAGTTTAGGAAGGAGGATGAAGGAATTCATCTAAGTCCATTAGCTCTGTCGAATGAATCAAAAAAGAAGTTTGGAGAGCTGACACTAGCTAAGACTCTTAGAGACGGGAACCTGTTGATAACAGTCGGGAAGAGCAGAAAAAAAGGTGATGAACACCCAGAGTATCTGTAAAAACAATGGTGAGTGAGATCAAGATTTTGGGAGAGACTAAGGTAGCTAGAGGAGTGATCACAGGTGTTCTGGTGCGTGAAGATCTGGAAAAATTTAGACGCAGTGTTTATGGAGGTGAAGTCAGCAAAATTAGAAGATTGACGAGAACAGTTGAAGGTGAAAGAAAGGAAAGTGTGTCAGTGATGTTGGAGTTTCAAGCAGCTGTTCTCCCTGAAAGGATCAAAGTAGGATGTGCTTCCCTGTTAGGCCGTACATCCCCCCTCCTCTCAGGTGTTATAAATGCCAGAGGTACGGACACATCGCAGCAGCATGTAGGGGGAAACAAAGATGTCCAAAGTGTGGAGGGGAGCATAGACATGAGGAGTGTAAAAATGGAAAGGATACTTGTAACTGTGGAGGACAACACAGAGTAACTTATGGAGGCTGTGAAATCAGGAAAAGTGCATTGGAAATCGAACAAATCAAAGTTATTAATAATATAAGTTATGCAGAAGCTGTTCAGAGAGTGAAGAAGCCAAAAGAGTTGCCAGGTAAAGTTCAGCCGAGGCCAGACTGGACCTAACACAGAACTGACAGTTGAAAAGATCATGCTGTTCATATGTTATTAATTGTACAGAGCAAGTAAAACACAAAACAGAAAAAAATATAAATAATTGTGAAAGGGGCAGAGAGGTTTTTTGGTATAAAGGATATATTCTGGGAGCACATGGATAAGAGACTGGGAGCAGAAGGGAAGACAGGAGGACCAGAAGACAGAACAAACTGATCATCTTACAGTGGAACGCTGGAAGTTTAATATCAAATGGACAATCTATGAACTGGTATTTGTAAACCTTCATTAAAACAAACCATAAGACAGATGTTACATTTATTCTTCCAGGTTCAGATGACGATGTGCCTGGTCCTGCAGAGCTGCACGCTGGTTTTCTGGACACCAACAGAACACCTGGAGTTGCACATTTCATTACAGATACACACATGAAGCGCCTCCTGAAGTTTTACTCTTCACGCATGCTTCCATCTTTGGTAGATGAATCTGTTGCGAAGAAGAGTCAGCTCTGCCACAAATACATTAATATCTTTAAAATGCAGTGAGCAGATATTCTGTTTACAACATACACAACACATGAAGCACTGTATGAAGCTAGGGCGAAAATACCAGGCTGAAGTGTTGTTTTGATTAGTTTTATTAAAATCAGAAAACTTCAAACCATAATATCCCCTTCAGACATATTAACACCATCCATCCTCTTGTTCTGAGGTTGGGTCTCGGGGGCAGCAGCTTGAGCAGGGAGCTCCAGCCACCTCTTCCAGTTCTTCTAGGACCTCAAGGTGTTCCCAGGCCAACCAAGAGACGTAGTCGCTCCATCATGAATTTTCATTTCTTGTCAGTTATAATCATCAACTTTAAAATAAATATCAAATAATTCTCTGTCAGGTCATCTGGACAGTTTCTTATTATAGAGACGGTTCACCCTCTATCCGGAGGACTTCATCGCCGGATAGAGGGTGAACCGTCTCTATAAAAATATAAACTGTCCAGATGACCTGACTGAGTTATTGGATTTGATACATGGATGTTTGAGCATGACCTTTGTTGTATTAAAAGAAATAAACATTTGAAATATATCAGTCTGTGTGTAATGAATGAGTATAATATACAAGTTTCACTTTATGAATGGAATTACTGAAATAAATTAACTTTTTCATGATATTCTAATGTTACGACCAGCACCTGTACTCCAGGCTCCCCCACATGACAGAGCTCTCACCCACGGAGGCTCATTTCAGCTGCTGTGTCCAGGATCTCGTTTTTTTTTGTCTTCATCCATTCCTCCTGACCACAGACGAAGGATGGAACAGACCGGTAACTTGAGACCTTTTGCCACAGCTCCTTCACAACAGACTGAAGAGACACCCTCGTTCAGGTGCACAAGCCGACTCATCTCATTCACTCTGGTACTGTGGGTGTCATGTTTTTTGCCAGATCTTGTCTGATGACCCTTTTTTTTTTTTTTTTAAATCACCATCAGTTGACACCTGCTCATCCACCCACATGTTGAGAAATGAGCAGATTCTCCGTAGGGTTACGGGCTGGGTGTTTTCTTGTCATAAGCTCTAAATTTTATTGTTACAGTTTTGATCACATTTATCTTGTGACACGGAGGTCAACCATGCTGGAAATTACAAGTCATCTGCAAGTTGTTCCTGGATTGTTAGCTGCTCTTGAAGGTATGGAGCTCTCAGCTGGCACAACTCGTGGTGACTCTTTTCTGCTCTGGATCAATGACCAAGGAGCTTTCTTGTGAAAACTACTGCAACAATTCTGAAATTGTATGTGAAAAATCATCTACACATTCCACCTTGTAATGTTTATGTTTGACAAAAGATTTTCTTTAGAGGATCCAAAGTGAATATGATCCAAGTATTTCAAATTTAACCTTTTTGCATTTCATTTATTACGGACTCAGTTATAGAAAGGTGACGTTCAGAATAACATGTCAAACCTAATGTGGCTTTCTGAGGGAGGGCAATAAATGTCACGTTGATAAAAACAAGGACTACAGGGGTCATAATTTTCTGTATTGATCACTTTGCTTCATTATAAACACAAGTTCTGAGTGCATATGTAGCTGTACAATGCTGAATAAGAAGCAAATTTTGCATTCTGAGATTAACAAAATAACATCAACAATCCAGAGGGGTGTTGCATCGGCCTCGACAGTAAGCACTTCCACAAAATAGAAGTGTCTGACTGTCTTTATTACTCCAGAAAAAGAGGAAGAGGTTGGTCATTTCAGGGGTACAAGAACATCTTCAAAACATTTACTTCAGAATGGTGTCTTCATTTGCTGTGAAAGCAAAACAGAGACATGTCACTTCACCTGGACGGCGCGCTACTTTTAGACACTGAATGTTGTAACGTGAAGACCATACCTTCTGCTAGTTCCTTAGCTATGCGCTCCTGCTCCTCACGGATCTTTTTCTCCTCCTCCTCGATCCTCCTTTCTTCGGCCGCGATGGGTTTCAGGTAATCTGAGAAAATCCAGGGGTTTGTCACAAAATCGTAACAGTTTTATTAAACACGAATAAATAAAACGGGCCTCTTAAGCTGAATTTCTAAACCAAACTCAAGTTTAATTTAAACTAATAATCCAAAAGAGTTTCAATCAATTTAGCTTAGGTATCTACGACCATTTCACTAGATTAAAAAAAACAAACTTGCAGGACTTTGGGATACAACTGTCAAGTAATGTAAGTTTGATATTCTTCATTTAGATTTATTTTAAAAAGGTTTGTAACTTAACATGTCCTACATTTTACAAATCAGATTTTTTTTTACCATTAAATGGATCTAATTAGGTTAATTCGGTCATGTGCATCAGAGTATGTAGACGGTGTACATAGCTTACCATATCTCATTTTACCATACAAGAGGCCTGCTATTAAAGCAGAGTACCTGGCAGTCTGTAATGAATAAAAGCACACAGATTAAAGACGTGAGATCTCAAGGTGAGCTGTTTATCTGCGGTGTTTACAATAGCCAGCAGGGGGCGCCAAACCAGGTTCACAAATGTTGTACAACAGTTAAATTTTAGGGAAATAAAATCCTAAACTGAATATAAGCTTGACATGACACATAGCAATTAACTAAATCACGTTTGTTGTTATTTTGACAACTAATTAGCTTATAAATGACGAATTAGCATCAAGTTATTCACGCAGTTCCTCGGTACCTAATCGGTGCACACATTGTTGAACACATTGCTGCACTAACATAAAGCAGAGGCGACATTTAGCTACACAGTTAAAAATGGTAACTTTGACTGACTGAAGCGTCGGAGTCGTTGTTGATTTACAACAACTTACTGTAAAAATGTCCCCTGGCTAAAAGTTAGCAGGCTAGCGTGGTCAAATTTACAGATGAAAAAATGTAGTACGTCACTCGTTTCTCAATAAAATACAAAATAACAGTTCTCCTGACAATATATGTTGACACAAACCTTAATCAAAGGCGACACTGCCACAGGAGGAGCCATTGTTTTACAGCTGTTAGCAACAGAGGTCACTTTAGCACGAAGCAAGAGGAGGAGAGACTTCTTCTTCGTGGACTGTTTACCGACAGCTCAACGTCATTCTGTTGCACTGCTGCCCCCTGCGGACAAAAATGGGTCTGCACACACGTGCTTCAATATCCAACAGTTGTTCAGTCTTGATTTTTTATTATTTCTGTTTTGAAATTCTCACCACAGCGCAGCTATTTCACTTTCATGACTGCTGTTATTGTAACAGTGAGACTTTAGTTTGTTTGCATCAGTGTGTGTGGAGGTTGGTAAATATTTTAATTTTCTAAGGCTGGCCACTCATATCATCATAGTTCCTGTGACCCACATCTTTAACCTGTCCATAAACCAAAACTCCATTCCAGATGCTTGGAAAACAGCCTTTATTCTTCCTTTGCTGAAGGGAGGTGACCCCACCTCACTGAACAACTATCGGTCAATCTCTAAACTCTGTATTAAGGTTCTAGAAAAACTGATAAACTCTCAAATCAAAAATTACCTGGACTCATTTAACATCTTACCTCCACATCAATCTGGTTTCAGGAAACAGCACAGCACAATGACTGCTTCACTGAAGGTTCTTAATGACGTTGTTGAAGCACTGGATGCTAAGGATTATTGTGCTGCACTTTCCTTAGACCTGTCTAAAGCTTTTGACACTGTGGATCAGAACATCTTGTGTCATAAGCTCTCAGAAATCGGTTTCTCAGATCACACTATTGGTTGGTTCTCCAACTATCTCTCAGATCGGAGGCAATGTGTTCAACATAATGGTACTTCCTCCAGTTATTTAACAGTCAACAATGGTGTACCACAAGGCTCAGTTTTAGGACCCACCCTCTTTACAATCTACATAGGTAATGTAGGTCAGAGCATACCAGATGCATCCATATATTTCTATGCTGATGACACAGTTGTTTATTGTCAAGCTAAAACAGTTGCTAAGGCTTTCCAGCTTTTGCAATCTGCATTCAAGTTCATCCAGTCAGATTTGTTCCACCACAAACTTGTCCTAAATGTCGACAAAACCAAAGGGATGCTTTTTTCAAACAGGAAGTCGGTCCCAGCAGTTCTTCTTCTGATTTTATCCTCAAATGGTGTCCCCATTGAGTTTGTTGATTCCTATAAATATTTGGGTATCTTGGTTGACTCACATCTCTCTTTTAAGCTCCACGTGGAAAACTTGGTAAAGAAACTGAAAGTTAAACTGGGTTTCTTTTTCAGAAACAGATCCTGTCCAACTCTGAATGCTAGAAAACACCTATTATTTTTTTAATTCGACCTTTATTTAGACAGGTAAATCCCATTGAACCTCGAGGACTCATTTACAAGAGAGACCTGATTTCAACAAAAATGATGACAACAATGGACAACAGCGACAACAATAAACAGTTATAAAAAGTCATACTAGTTTTTTTTTTTGTTTTTTTTTATAACAAATAGGATGGCTAAAAGAAAAAGGTAACAAAAAACAGCTAGATTCTAAGGCGAATGTAGAAAAATAAAAACAGGAACATGTCTGCATTGGTCCCTGCCAGGAGTCCAACAGATTCTTAAAGCCACTTAGAGAGGTCACGGTCGAGAGCTTCAGTTGTTTTTGTAAGGTATTCCAGGAAACGGGAGCGGAGTAGGAGAAGGCCCTTTTGCCTAGTTCAGTCCTCACTGAGGGAACACTGCAGGTAATAATGTCCTGAGAGTGCACGCCGTAGATGCACTCACGCAGAGACATGTAGGAGGAGATGTCCATCATCTTTATCCACTTCTTCCTTTTGAGTCATGGGGTCACTGGTGCTCATATCCAGCAGTCACTGTGTGAGAGGCAGGGACACCCTGGACAGGTCTCCAGTTCATCACAGGGACACATGGAGACAAACGAGACAAACAACCATTCGCTCTCTCACTCACACCTAGAGACAATTTAGAGTTACCATTCAGTCTAACATGCATGTTTTTGGTCTGTGGAAGGAAACCGGAGTACCCGGAGAAAACCCACGCATGCACGGAAAGAACATGCAAACACCACCCAGAAAGGCCCCCCGGATCGGGATTAATTCCTTCAACCTTCTCACTGAGAGGCAGCAGCTCTACCAACTGCACCACCATGCCGCCGGGATGAGAATCAGCACCTCCAAAATCTGAGGCAATGGTCCTCAGTTGGCAAAGGGTGGATTGCTCTCTTCATGTCGAGGGTGAGGTTCTGCCTCAAGTGGAGGAGTTCAAGTATCTCTGGGTTTTGCTCACGAGTGAGGGAAGAATGGAGCGTGAGATTGACAGACGGATTGGTGCAGCATCTGCAGTATTGTGAACTCTGTACCAGTCCGTTGTGGTGAAGAGGGAACTGAGCTGTAAGGCAAATCTCTTTGTTTATCGATCTATGTTCCTACCCTCACCGATGGTCATGAGCTCTGGGTAGTGACTGAAAGAATGAGATCGTGGATACAGGAGGTTGAAATGCGTTTCCTCTGCAGGGCAGCTGGAGTCTCTCTTAGAGATAGGGTGAGAAGTTCAGTTATCCAGGAGAGACTCAGAGTAGAACTGCTGCTCCTCTACATCGAGAGGAGCCAGTTGAGGTGGTTCAGGTATCTGGTAAGGATGGTCCCTGGGTGCTTCCCCAGGGAGGTGCTTCGGACATGTCCGACTGGGAGGAGACCCCGAGGAACATCTAGGACACACTGGAGAGACTATGTCTCTCAGTTGAACAGGGAATGCTTTGGAATCCTCCCAGAAGAGCTGGAAGTGGAAAAAGATGTCTGGACCTCCCCGCTCAAGATGCTGCCGCCACAACCCAACTTCAAAAAAGGCGGAAGATAATGGATGGATGGATTAATGAATTGATGGATATCCATCCATCCATCCATTATCTTTACCCACTTATTCCATTTTGGGTCACGGGTGTCGCCGGTGCCCATGTCCAGCAATCACTGTGCAAAGGGCGGGGGACACCCTGGCCATGTCTCCAGTCCATCACAGGGCCACATAGAGACAAAGGAGCCAAACAACCATTCACTCTCTCACTCACACCTAGAGACAATTTAGAGTTACTAATCAGACTAACATGCATGTTTTTGGTCTGTGGGAGGAAACTGGAGTACCCAGAAAAAACCCACACATGCATAGAAAGAACATGCAAACTCCACCCAGAAAGGCCCCCGGACTGAATTGAACCAGGGACCTGCTCACTGAGTGGCAGCAGCTCTACCAGTTGCACCACCGTGCTGCCCAATGGATGGACAATTAAAGAAAAATGTGAAGGATGCTGGAAAGGACAAGTAAAGATCATTTCTCACTCCTGAATAATCTGAGGAAAATAAATTAGAGAAGCCTAAAACACAGTAAAACTATCAGAAATTCTCATGATTTATAATATGAAATATTATTTTATCCATTTGCTGCACAGCTCTGATTATCTTCTTTAAGCATTCGATGAAGAGCAAAATATTTTTGCTACCATTTGTTGGTGCAGCAACATCAAAGTCAGAGACTCAGAAAGACTGATCACAGTCAGGTCTGAAGCCCTGGAGCCGACTGTTCAGACAAATTATACCAGAATATAATACTGTACTGGAGCCAATAACGTACAATACAGAGCTCAAGAATTACTGAGGTCTTGTCCGGTCAGAAACTTCTCCAGCTTCGTTAAACATCTGACGAGAACCAAAGGGCTTATTGGACACAGCTATAAAAATATATTTTATATATATATA